TAAAGACTATATATAACAAGCATTCAGCAAGTAGAATTAAAACATAATGAAAAATATGTTGTTTAATAAATATCTAAAATAAATTTTTAATAATAAAACATGAAACGAGACCGTTAATATTCACAATAATAGCTTAAATATAATAAATATTACTACTAAAATATAGACTTTTATTGATGACATTTTTGGTCACCATTTCATCACCGCTAAAAGTCTTATATTCAACCCAAACTTTTTTTTTTGGGCTGCCATTGAAAGTTTTTAAAGGGTATACATTTCAAAAGTCCCTGCGAAGACGTCACTTTCAAAGGCAACAATTTTTTGTCGCAGGCGACTTTCTAGAGTTGCCATTGAAGGGCATACTTTTAATGGCGACTAGTAGTGTCGCCGCTGAAAGTTTGAGGGTCTAGATCCAAGTCGCTGAAAGTATAACTTAATAATGTATATTTTATTTTATAATAATAATCAGCAAATTCAATCCAACTTAATGGTAAAAAGATTGGACAAAAAAAAAAGGTGGTCAAGAGTTCAAATCATGAAGAAAACACGTCAAAGTTGAAAATATATGGGCAATAATGTGATAAGAGAGTGGTGATATGGCAATGATGTGGCATTGGTGGTGACACGAGGATGTGGTTGTTGATGGTAAGACCTATTTTTTTCTCCAGCATCATTTTCAATAGTAACTTCTTTGTCATTGCTAAAAAATTTGACGATGACAATCTATCACTACTAAAAAATATTATTAGCAGTGACTTCTTTGTAGCCACAGAAAGACACTTTTGGCAATGACATTTGTTGTTACTAAAAGGCATTTTCAGTTGTGACGAAAATGTCATCCCTAAAAATGTCTTTTGGCAAAAAAATTTTCTTGCGGATGAAACTTTTCAACCACAATTGTTATGCTAATGATTTTTTGATGCCCCCTTGTCACTCTGAAAACTTTCAACAACAACTTTTGTACTTTTTGTGGTGACTTTTTTGTTGCTGCTGAAAGTTAATTTTTTTCCTAATATACTCCCTTTGGTTCTAAATATATAATACCCTCTTAACTAATTCATAGAGACAAAAAAAATTAGGTAAGTTGGTTATCTGTAACTAATAAGAGAATTTGTGACATTAATTTTTCAAATTTACCCTTCTCATATGACGATTAAAACTTAATGCATAAAGATAGAAACAATCCAATAAGTAGCGGGATTATGAAAAAGAAAAACTTGAACACACGAGACAAAAAAGAATGGATCTTGTATATAAAAGCAAACCACAACCCTCGAAAACAACTTGTGTTTAAGATGGGAATTATCTCAAGTTTTATGTAAAAGGACATAAAATACTTTTAAGTGATCAATCTTTTAGACTGTGCAAACCAAATCAAGGGACAAATCGTTGAGATTTTAATTATATCAACCACGTTTTAACAATATGGATGCGGGACATACAATTTGCACTACGCACAGATATACATGTGTCGGGGAGGAGATTCATGATTGAATTGATTGCTACAAATAAGAGGAAAAATGAATGAGAGGCAAGGTAGGTGGGAAGCATTTAACTCTCAAAAACGTTAGAATAAAAAACAAAAGAGTGTTAAAACATAACATCTAGATTGCAGTGGCCCGCCTTGCTAAGAATTATTCACTTCAAACTCAAATGTGTTATAAAGGGTAAAGCTGATCAAAAATATGTCTTAGAACTCTAAAGTATTTTGTCATTCATTTAGCACCTAAAATATTTTTCTAGATACTAGCACCTCAGAACTTTGAAGGCAAAATTGTATCACAAATTATTTGAGGGAGCTAGATTCACATTGAAAAATATTTTAGAGTACTAAATAAACTATAAAATGTTTTAAGATGCTAGATACATTTGAAAAAATACTTTATGATGTTGGATGAATCATAAAATACTCTAAGATATTTTTTTGTTGTTGTAAAAACCATACAGTATCCCCCAAACAATGGTTTAAGACGTATTTGAAATAATAATTTAGAATATTGAATGCAGTTTAAAACTATAATTATAATTACAATAATTTTATTACTACTCAAAAATAAAGTTTGATTAGACAGGCCCTAAAAGGGCCATCATCATGAATAGAATTGTAGAGAAACGAGGCAGCCCCCTCTTATTAACTGTGAAAACAACAGATGAATGAGCCAGAGCTAATCACTCCCATGCACACGTCCCTTTCCGCCCTTCCATCCACTACACACACACTCACTCACTCACTCACCCCCTCCCCCCCCCTCCCCTTCTCTCCGCCGCCCCCCCTTTCGCGCGCACACACTGCCGCACGCACGTCCATAGGAAATGGCCACCATTCATTTGCTGCAAAAGGCTGTCTTAACACCGCTCCAATTTGCTAACATTATAGGAAAATATATTTCAAGTAATTATTTGGAACGTGAAAATTCAGATTTTGAGGATATATCAGGATCTTCGAATGAAATTGATGAATTGGCGGGTTGGATCCATTGGCGTACTAATTGCCAATCAATTTTTGATTCAATTTGAAATGGATTTAAAATCAACCCATTTTGTAATAAAAAGATCAATCCCATTTAAAACAGAAAAAGAGATCCTAAAATCAACCAAAAAATATTCAAAGCACATAGAAATTGGTCAATAATCGATAGAAAAATTATCTTTTAGTGTTTATATTATATTTTAAATATAGAAGTAAAAATAATAATTTAATAATGACTGTGATTGGATCAAAGCTCAGTTGTAGTCATTCTCATACCACTATCGAAAATTTAGGTATACGGTTTTTATGAAAAACATAATATTTCATTAATGGATTTTAGATTAATTCATAATTTATATTTAAATAATTTCAAATAATAAATTGGTACAAAAGAATGTGATGCTTTTGATTGAATTTAATGTGATATGAATAGTCTGTAATGAGTGAACTATCATATTTATGCTAGCTAGGAGTTTGTTGTAGACCCTAGATGACTAGGCAAACTCTCTAGATACAGGACAATGTGAGTTGTAATGTATTTTTAAGTCAATTTCGTCCTCTGCATTTACGATCTCCTTGGGATCTTTGGTATCAGACTGGATTGTAGTATCGAATTTGGTACGATATAAACCTAATTTACCTTTTTATTTTCGTATTTGTTAAGACACGCTTAAAGTTTATCAACTTGAACACAATAATAGCCTTATCAATTCAAAAAACGGGTTTCGATAATTTTTTTATAACTCTTGATACAATAATTTACATTATATGTATTCATTTTCCCCCCTCTAAAACGTCATAAGTGTGTGTATTTTTATAGACCTAGTAATTGTAATCTCAGTCTAGAACAGCCCGTTTTGAGCTATGATATCACAAAAGCGATGGACCGCTTTAACTAAAATAAACTAAAGACATCCACTGAAGATAGACGAATAATTTCATTAATATCTCTATCATATTCGCGTACACAAAAGTTCTTTAGATTAACAGAGCATATGTTTACAAATTTTATGTTAAAACTTCAATTTTTATGAGCACAAGCTACAGTGATCATCTCCCTGGCCCAAGGTACTCGGGACAAAGGGTAATAGCCTCTCCCAACTAAATTTTTCAATATACAAGGGCTGAAATTCGAGTATTCAACTACGTGCTTAAATTACAAGAGTCTTTACCAGTTATGCCAATCTGAGTGTGTTGTTAAAACTTCATTTGATTATTAACAAAAAAGAAATTCATTGGATTATAAAGAATATGATGAGAAGGACAGGAACAAAAGGGGAAATATGACATTTGCTTCTTGAATTTGTTTTCTCAATTATTAATTCAATCTATGAACTTTGTGACTTGAAATGATTTAGTCCTCGTAATTTTTACTTGAAGTAAGTCAATCAACATATAATTTCTAAACTCAATAAGCTATGAAGATTGAGTTTTTCTCAGTCGAAGCTCAGAAATTGAATCAATTATTGAGAGAAAGCTTTAGATCCCGTTTGGTACGAAGCATTGAAAATGAGGGATTGGATTGAGATTGCAATTAAAAAAGATATTGAAATAGTATTTAGTATAAGTAATTGTTTATTATATGAGATTAGGCAAATCTATAGAAGTGGGATGGGAGAATACCACTTCCACCCATGATATTCTCCAATCCCACATACATGGGTTTGACTAATCCCATATAACAAGTAATCTTTTATATTAAATATTCTTTTAATAGATTTTCTTAATTGCAATCACAATCACAATCTCTTATTTTCAATGCTTTTTACCAGACGCAATCTTAGGGATTAAAAATTATATTTTTGAAGGATATATAGAAAGTGAGATAATTTGAACTAAAACTTTAATAAGAAAATCCCGATCCTTCAAATTACATGCCCCTTTCTTATATTTTAAAAATATGAATAAACTTTCTGTCAATATTGAAATAATTTCTTATAACTAAAAAACATTTATTATAGTTTTGTTAATTTTTCCACAATGCTTTATATCTATTAAGATACTATTGCTGAAATTAGAAATCACTTGATTAATCTTAAATCCGTTTTATAAATTTGCTAGTTTTGGTTTATCAACAAATTTGCTAAATCTAGAAATTCATTTACTACAATAGCAATGAGCAGTAAATCCCATTTCTCAATCTCTTCTTAATGCACGCAATCTATACTGTACAATGCAGCACAAAATAATTAATATATCAAGTTAACTTTTTCAAAAAGATAAAAAGTAAATAAATTTGTGTTATTACTTAGTTATATTTATAAATTTGCATATTTTTTCTCGTCAATATACCAAGTGCTTCAAAAACTTAATATATAACGATAAAAGAGAGTGAGTAACAGGGACAGAGGCAACACAACTTTCCAGGCCTATTGAATCCGCAATCACTTTTGGGGGAATATAGCTGTTTCTCTTTCACTCACACTCCACATTCAACAAAAACCAGACCACACACACCAGATTCATAGAGAAAGCAATTTCATCATCTCTCTTTCACCAAAGCCCCCACTCTTCTCTCTGATAAGTTAATCCCATCAATCAAATCAAATCAAAGAATCTGAGAAAGAGAGAGAGAAAGTCCTCTAATCCATCAATCAAAACACAAAAGGAGAAAACAAACATGTCCGCCTCATCCACTGCCTCCTTTTCACCGGACCAGCACCTCCTGTCTCCCTCCGACCAGCTCTGTTATGTCCATTGCGACTTCTGTGACACTTTCCTCGCGGTACACACGCGCACACACACATCTTCTCCTTCTTTATCGGTATGCCCTAATTTTCTTGTTTGTCTTTCCCATTTAGGTGAGTGTTCCATGCACCAGCGTGTTCAAGACTGTCACTGTGCGATGTGGTCATTGCACCAACCTTCTCTCTGTCAATATGCGTAGTCTGCTTCTTCCTTCTGCCAATCAGTTTCATCTCGGACACTCCTTCAATCCTCAAAATCTTCTGGTATCATCGAAGCTAGGGTTTTTTTTTATCCTTCTGTAAAATGCTTCTTCAAGTATTTGCTTTATGTTTTCTCTCAAATAGAGTGATATACCTAATCTGCTGGTAGTTCTCAGGTCTTGAGAGATCTTTTTCTTTGAATATGTATAGCTAGATAAAAAGTCATGTTTTAAGAACTGGAAACTACTGAACTGTGGTAAAATGTCACTGAGCATTCGGTTTAATAAATTTCAGGAGGATATTCGAAGTGCACCTTCATCAAATATGGTGATGAATCAGCTACAGAATAACCCAAATGATTCTGTTACGAGTATGAGTGCCATGCGAGCACCACCTGAGGAAATCCCTAAGCCTCCACCAGCTGACAGACGTGAGTATAATTTCTTTGATTTTCTTTTTGTTAGTTGTTTAGGTCTTTTCTTTTTCTTTCTTTGGTTTCCTTTTTCTATTTAACAGCGGCTGGGTACTCGGAGATTCTTCTTCTGATGCCAAAAGTTAGAAAAAGAGGGGAAACAATCTGCTGATCAACGGTACCCTTTAATCTTAAGCTTTATAGTGACCAATTAAACACTAGACAGAAAAAGCAAGCAAAAGTTGTTTCCCCAGCAAAACTCACTTGTCAATCTGAAACAGTGGACTGTGTCTGAAAGGGTTTTGGTTTACATGCTTCAAGTGGCATGTGAAAGAAGAATCTTCACCACATTTTTCTCATTCCTTGCTTTTTTTTCTTCCCCTGAACTCTTTCCTGTCTTATAACTTAGGGTCCATTTGGATTGGTGGTGGAAAAAGCAACTTATTTCTAAGCTGACTTTTAGAAAAGTAAGATTGGGTAAAAATTAAATTGAACAAAGTGAATTGTGTTTGCATTGTAGTTTAAAAAAGTTCGTTTGTAAAGGTGAGATTGGTAAAAAGTTGTTTGGATTATCATTGAGTAAAAATAAGTTTGTTTCAGTAAAAAAAAAAAATGAGCCACACATTTTGTCTTTCTCTCTCTACTTTTCCAACTCTATAAGCTGCAATTTTTAGCTTTTGGTTTAAATATGTGATTTTAGCATAAGCTCTTAATTTGTTAAACTCTTCCAAACACACTCAAATATATTAAAAGCCAAAATCCACTTAAAAGCTACTTAAAAGTCACTTAAACGTTGCTCCAAACAGGCACTTAATTACTTAGTGCTTCCTCAAAGCAAGCTAAGCTTCACTGGGTTCTTAAATTGATTATAAACATTAAGCTTCCAAAACATTCAAAGTTCATAATTGATGTTTTGGCTTCTAACATAAAATAAACAAATCAATAAACTGAAGTTCTTTCTTTTGAAATCTCATTTATGTCTTTGTATGTCTTTTCTTCCGTGCACACACTGGGTGAGAGACACAGAGAGAGAGTACACAAAGTCACAAACGCATGCACAATTTCTCTCCCGAAATTATAGTGATGAATCCATAGAGATTGTGATTGTTAGAGATATAATCATGAGGTAATGATAGAAAGGAGAGAGAGAGAGACATTAGGCGAAAAGGTCAGCGATGTGGTCATAGTGTCTATGTGTCTGTGTTGAGGATTGACGTGCAATGTGCGCGTGTTATGCGTGTCCAGCTCCAGAGAAGAGACAGAGAGTTCCATCTGCTTACAATCGATTCATCAAGTAAGTTTTAATGTCATTTATTATTTGCAAATTACTAATTACTAGTTAATTATCTTTCTGTCGAATCATTGTTGAATAATTAAATAATTAAATCAATAAATTTAGCTATTTTTTCTTTAAAAGGATTTTCATTACTTGAACGAAAAAGAGCTGGAATGCATGTCGAAAATGTATTCCTCGGCCGGATTTCAGATAGAAAAGATTTTAAATTATATTTTGCTGATGCCATATGGATTTGTGAATGGCTTCCAAGTTAACATCATGCAAATTTTAGGGACGAGATCCAACGTATCAAAGCTGGGAATCCTGATATAAGCCACAGAGAGGCTTTCAGTGCTGCTGCAAAGAATGTGAGATCCAAGAGCAATTTACTTTATTAGAATATTAATATTAATTCTAAATCTATTTGCTTTCATTTGATCTTCTGAATTTTTATTTTGGAAAAATTAATCTACAGCTCCATATAGTTTCAACTAATTTTGAATCAGATCCTTATAGTTTTTTTTTCTTTTTATCAGATCATTATACTTTTACCTGTTTTTAATCAAGTCCTTGTATTTATTTTTCTTTTTATCAAGTCCTTATAAGTTCACCTTATTTTTAATTAAGTCCCTGAATTTTTTATTCTTTATTTTATAAATTCTAATAGTACTATTATATAAACATAAAATAGTATATATTATTTAATATTAGTTTATAAACAATAATATTCTAAAGATATTGAATTATTATAATGATTTTAATTTTTTCAGCAAAAAAATTAATTGTGCTAGAAAATTTTCCTGAATTAATTAATTCTGTTACTTTTTTATTACATAATTATTAATTTAATTTAATTATTAATATTTTATATTTCAGTATTAATCTATTTAATTAAGCTTATATTTAATTAATAAATAAAAATTAAAACTACATGGACCTGATTAAAAATTTAGTGAAATTATAAGGACTTAATTAAAAGAAAAATAAATACAAGGACCTAATTAAAAAAAGATAAAAGTATAAGAACCTGCTAAAAAGAAAAAAAACTATAAGGATCTAATTCAAAATTCGTTGAAACTATAAGGACTTGCGGATTAATTAACCCTTTTATTTTCAAATAATTATTCTGAGATATAAACTTTTGTTTTCAAAAAAAATTTATGTATAATTTTTGTAGATCGTCCTTACAGTTTTGGTGTTATGTAGGATTTTTTTAAAATTTAATTTACAAAAATAATTTTATTTTTAAAAAGATAGCCGATCCTTTATTTGATGACTTATATTTACTGAAATTATTTTTAATTTTTATTAAAAGTAAAATTTAAAATCAATTATCTCAATGATTTTCTTAAAATAAATGATTTTAACTAAAAGTATGGACAGAATCTAGCTAGGTTCCAATTTTTAAAATGGAGAGTTTTTTATTTTTTTTATCTCGGGGGTTTAAGATTTTTGTCTTATAGTTCGCCTGACTTGTGTCTTTCAGTGGGCCCATTTCCCCCATATCCACTTCGGACTGATGCCTGATCATCAACCCGTGAAGAAAGCTAATATCCGCCAGGTACTACTCAAAACCCTCGCTGCCTTATTTTAATTTTCTTCTTCTTGTTTTTTTTTTTTTGCCAAAAATTTTCTTCCTTTTCTTCTGACACAATAAATTAACCCAGAAGGGTCTTGGCTTGTTCAAGTATGGACCGTGTCTTCCCGTGCTCTCTTCTCTTCTTCTCTTGCCCTAATGATAGTGTCATCTCGCACGTTTGGATGATGTTCTGCGTTTGAGTCTGATATTGACATATTTGTATGTGTACGTGTTTAAATCATATTACTTTCAGTCCTAATTATAGGATAGGAGCTAGTATTAAATGAAAAAATAACCCAAAAAATAAAAATATATTATCCTTTTCAACTTGAATCTCCTAAAATAATTTTAGCAAGGAGAAAAACTCAAAAACAGACCCAGAACGATAAGCATCATTGATTTTTGGAACCAACATATCAAAGTGAAGCCTACTTTATCGACACATCTCTATTTTACCTTTATGTGACGCTTTATAGAATCCATATTCCTTATTTTCCAGGGTTTCTATTAAGTTCTAATATTTATGGGTGTAGGAAGGAGAGGAAGTACTTATTAAAGATGGGTTTTATGCTCCAGCAAACGTAGGGGTCTCCCCTTTTTAGGAGAGATAGGGCTTTATATATGGAACTCTTGTATCGTTCTATGCAGCGGAACTATATATGACTCTACCTTATGGATTGATGTTGAGCTCGTAATCCGTAGTGTTCAAAGCTATTATCTTATGTTAAGAATGTTGGGTGGAAGAGGATTCAGATATATCCTTTGGTTCTATGAAAATATGGAGCTTTAGTTTTCTAAAAGCCTAATGATGCCACTTCCAATGACTTGAAAAGAATCATGAACCCTTTAATTAAGGGCCACATCTTCTTGAAGATACTAATCTTTGGAGGGTTAAAAAAATCCTGGAAGCTTGAATTTTTAATTGCCTCAAGATTTGAATTTCATAATTTTGAAGCAATATAAACATGTAGTTGTCTTATTGTGTAGTTTGGATTAGATTGAATGCATAGATGTGCTTTTAATGTCTAGTAGGTTTCAATATCCCAGGGATTAGCTAAATAATAAATTCGGGAGCAAAATCTTCCTGTAAAATAATTCAAAATTTTGTTATGAAAGATCTCGGGACATACTTGTGAGGTGGCGGAATGATTGAACCGTTACACAATAGAATCCATGGCGGACTCAATTTTGCTTCACATCAAATAGCATCGGACAAAGAGAGGAGAGAGCTTTCTACCCAAGGAGTTACCCAACGTTTTTTAAATTGACTGGCCCAATACCTGATTCCATAATACTCCTCCACTTTTTTAAATAAGACATGATTAACTAATTTGATTATATTAAAAAATTTAAATAAGTTAGTTAATTATAAAAAATATAACATGTTTTTTCTAAAACACCATAATCATTTTTATTAATATCCCCCCTCTTTCACTTACTTGATTGTGGTTAAAGGAGTATCTATAGGGATAGTTTAGAAAAAATTGATAAATATGAGAAATAGGTCTTATATTTAAAACCAAAATAAAATTAATAATTAGGTTCTATATATTAAGAATTAGAGGAGTATCATGTTTGCCAGTTATTTAAATTTGATTATTAAATAATCAGAGACAAACCACCTCAGTGAACGATATTTCTACTTTTTCATATTGAAAACTCCACTTGTATTGGGTTTGGGCCCTAATCCGCTAAGGATGATTAGTTATAACCCAACATCTTTAACGATGTTAGAGTAATATACTGCTGGCTTCCTGTTTCACTTTAATTACATAAACATCTCCTCTTTTTTTGATTAAAAAAAAACAACAACTAACAACTAGGCCACAACAACGTCCCTCCTAATGGATTTAGAAATACAGTGGGGAGGATCGGTGAAGAAACAAAGGTCTATCTCACTACCCAAAAAAAAAAGAAAACATATAATTACCGATGGAATTCAAAATTACTGATGAAATTACCGAAAGATTAGAGATAGAAGCGAATCACCAACAGAATTTTTGACGAAAATGATTATGTCATTAATTTTATCTGCGATGGAATTTTAAATTTTGTTGGTAATTACTGATGGATTTTTTATGGAAATTTTGTTGGTAATTACTGGCAAAAATTTTTAGGGTAATTACCGATAGATTTCCAACGGAACATTCCATTACTAATTAGCCACAAAAATTTTTGTCAGTAATCCATGGCTAATTTATAACCAAATTTTGAGAAAATTTCGTCAGTGGTTTGTGACAAATTTCTGACGAGAGTTTCTTTTAATAAATATAAAATTTGAAGCAAAATTAATTCTTTATTGTTTAGCTTTTCTTGTATTTTTTTAATTTTAAAAACAGCAAACAATTAAAAAAGCAAAAAATAAAGACAATTAAATTTCTTCAATACCAAACAGGCTGTAATTAATAAATAATATGAACATAGGTTCTCAACTAAAAATACTTGAAATTTTAAAAGTTTAACACTTAACCCATAACTCTCAACTCTTTTTTTTTTTTTTGGTCAAACCCATAACTCTCAACTCTAATGTTGACACCCAATTTTTGCAACATCGACTGAAGCTTGCCCTCGATGCAAGGGTTGATTATTGTCACACCTTATTACTATATTGACTTAGGTTCCTTTCAAAACCATTTTAGACCACATTGGATGGTCTTGGGCTCACTTTTTACCACAAAAACGCTAAATTTCGGATTTTTACTGTTCATCGGGTAAAAATCCAGTTTTTGTTTTGCCCAAATTCAAAAATTCATAACTCATTCCACAAAAATCCAATTGGGGTGGTTCGAAATTCTATTTAAAGATATTTAAGTCCTCTTTCAAGGAAAAATAATCTCAAGATCCAATTCTTTATGAAAACGCATCAGGTTTTTGTGAAATACCGTACTGTCCATTGCCAAAATTTCTTTTTTCCCAGATTCTAACCTTTAACTTTGGAAAATCATTAAGAATCGTATACTTGGCCATTTTTAACGTATTAGATATCAATTTGAAGCTCAGGACGTTATCGTTCATCACGCCAAATTTCATGATTAAACGCATTCGGGACCATAATCAAAAAGTCACATGAACCAGTCAAGGTCAGTGTGCTTACAGCACTGTTAGTTTAATATGTACATAACCAAAATGAGTTCACGACATTTTGTAGCTAAACCCCATAAATTAGCCTTCAATCTGCAGCTTTCCCTTGGAGAATTCAGGCCCTAAAATGTTAGATTGCATTTATGGAATGAGATTTCATTGAAATCCCAATAGCAAATTAACCAACTATATCACCAAGCAAGCATCATTATTATGCATGATCACATTAGCTACTATTGGTGAACTAACATGCTTATCAATTGGCAAACTCAATCATGCAAAGGCTAAAGCAAGATACTATAAAGAGCAGCCACATAACAATCAAGAGAGCTCAACCACAATAATAGCAATTAACCACACAATAATCAACAATGCTAGTTAGTGGTAGTAGCTAGGTTTAACTTGCTACCTTGCTCCAAAAGCTTTAGCTTTCCTTCTTTCTCCTCTTTTCCTTTACAAATATCAAACCCTAACAATGCAATCCATCAAAAAGGGCAGCAAGAATCATTTTTCAACCATGAAAAAGCAAGAACATAAATCAAAATGATTCTTGAACCATAAAACTTCCTCCTTTGTTCACTATTTTTAAACTTGGTTCTCTTTAACCCTAAAAATCACTTCTTAACTTATTCCTACACGGATTTTCATGTAGATTTCAAAACTGGGCTTATATTTATGAAAATAAAATTACTTCTTCCAGCCACAACCTGACCGAACCACTAGAGGTTTTAAACCAAAAATCACAACTTTGCTTTTAAGCTTCCAACACTTGTTCCTTTTAGTTTACCCTACACCATTCCTCATTTTAAGCATCATGGAAGCCTTAAAACATTGAAAAACTCCTCCTAGGGTTCAGTTCTTCACTTGGCCGAAATGATCACTTAAGAAAACAACCATGAAAGATGCTTTAAAACAACCTAAACTCACTTGCAAACACTAGGATCTAGCTTGTTTTGTTGTATTTTAACAAGTATGATGAACCAAACTCCTTTCCCCTTTTTATTAATCATTTTGGTCAGCATCAAGAGAGGGAGGAGACAGATTTTTAACCATAAAAAGGGAAGAAAAGAAAGCAAGACACCTCTAGAACCATGAACTCACCTTAGATCCTTGCTTGTATGACCAAAGGAGCTCACTTTCTCTTGCTTTTCCTTCCAAGTTCTCTCTTTTCTCTCCTCCTTCACTCTTGACCGAATGAACATCTAAAATTAGGGGAGAGAAGAGCTTGATTAATGGTCCCAAAATATCTCAACCACCTTCTTTAATGATAGTCCAAGTGTCATTACCTTACTAAGTCTTGATTTCTCTTTCATAATTAACAAAATTCCAAATGAAATTATTTACTAAAGTCAAGATCCTCTCCATTTGAGGAATGACACTTGGAAAATTCAAATCTTCTCCTTCAAGAGCTTGACACATGGCTCAGTATGATCCCTTAGATTTGCAAGACACCAATCTTGCTTTATTAGTATACCTTAGGTTCTGAGTTTAACTTCTTTTCCATAATTATAGCAACCTAGCTTCTGCAATTATTTTCTATCAGATCCTTAATTTAATCTCCTCATTTTTATCTTTCCTAATTGCCCTCTTTGCCTCAAAATCAATTTCCTAATAATTAATTAAAAAGGAAAATTAATTTCCTTCTCTTTAGGGATTTTTCCACTTTTCATCATTATTTGGAAAAATCTTGGATACTTGAGGGTCTTTATTTAATTCCATAATTCCTTATAATTTCTTGGGATCTCATAGGAATTTTCTCGGAATTTTATTCCCCTTAAAAATATTTATTTGGAATTTTCCAAATAAAATCCCTTAATTAGCCTAAATAACCCTTAAATTCTCTTACAATTTCTCTAAGGGTAATTTGGTTATAAAACCAACTTTATATTTCATATAACTCTCAAAGGATATTATCCTCATTTTTTCTTAATTTTCCAAGGCTTGGAAATATTTTTCATTATTTAAATTTTGATCAATTTTCCTCAATTAGTCAAATTTCTATGATTGGCTTGGAAAACTACTGTAATTATTTTCCACCAAAATTCTCCTTATTAATTTTAATCCTCAACAATTTGAGAACGTTTCTTGTTTCTAATTATCATAATACTGGATGTGACAATTATCTGCTTAACGGGTTTATAACAAAGCACGCTTGCTAGTAAGAGAACCAATGAACTAGTGTTCTTGGTAGTCCACTTCTTGGGTGGCTGGATCAAAAAAGTCTTCACTCGGAAGCCTTTTCATTATCTTTAACTCATCAACTCCAAATTTTGGAGCATACATTTTAGCAAAGTTGGTTAGAGTGAAAGCCCAACCGTGCAAACTGGCTGAAAAAGCAATTGTTCCTTTCTCTGGGTAAGCCTGGCAGTCACTCTAATCACCAAGAAGGGGATCTGCATATGTGACCATGATTACATTAGCATTCTCAATAACTCTTGAAAAAATTAAGCCTCCTCTCTAGCCATGAGAATTAACGAGGGTTGATTTTTCTGCAATCAAAATGTCAGAGAATAAAGAGTTACATAACTAGAAAATTAAGTATGTAACTAGAAAATTAAGGTAATTATATAGAAAAATGCAACTATATCATATCCCTCATAGAAAAGAAGGGAAAAACCGAAAGGGTACAGAGAAAGTGAAATCCATAACAGGTAAATCCAGTACAAATCAGTCCATACCATGACCGACATAGCAATTACATACATGTTAGGAATACTGT